GGTGACTACTCCTCTGTCAGCATTTGCTACTTTTTGTCATGTATTCAAACATGCATAGCAATTGATACTTTTGCGATTGTATCTCTATGAGTTATTGAGTCATGAGTCTTGAACTTTAAAAAAGAGCCGAAGTATTCTCTGCTTAATTTTCGAATAGTGCACTCACTTTGCATCATCTAAAAATGTCGTCGGTGAAGTGGACTTGGCCAATGTCTTGATTGAAGGTGTGAGATCTTGTGATCATGAGCAAAGAATTGTATTTATTTATATCAAATGGCAGGCTTTATGGTAGTTATCATTAGCTCTTTAGTTGACTTCAGGCTTCATAGAGGGAGAGGAACATCAAAATGAAAAAAGTCGAGAGGGGGGACAGAATAGTGTTTTAAAGATGTAAAAGGGACAGACACAAAGGTAGAAAAAAGGTGAGGTGAGTACTATAGAAGTGGGCGAATCTGACATACAGTGGGATTATGATAGTTTAAAGTCAGAAGTCAAATGCCGGTTTATAGACTTTGTTGCCGCATGAGTATACGTTGGCCAGGGTGCACCACGTGGAGGTAAGTCTATCTCACACCCCATGAGCAAAGAATTTGGCACAGCTTCCACCCCAATATTGACAAGGACATGGAGACCCATCTTGTGGCAAAACATCGACGTTGCAAATTTAGCTTATGTCGAAGTCCTCTCACCAAACCTTGCCTGGTTCATCGATATGATTGCACTATTTGCCATTGGTGGGAATGTAGATCGTTAATGTCACAGGAAATTCCATAATTGGAATCACCAGTGACATTCTATCAATCACCGAGCGCATTATATTTTGATTTGATTCAAAACTAGTTGGAAGACGTGGGTGACATTGCATTCTCAATGCAGCTTATAACACTGTGCCTCATTTCACGACTAGCTTAAGTGACGAATTCGGCAGACATCTGCGCAAGATAATGACAGTCTGTCATTATTACTGTTTGACTACAATAAAGAGGAAAAAAATTTTGTTCTAATTGTGGGATGCATCTAAAATCTGTTGACAGTAATTCAAACAAATTACAAAGAGGAGGGCAATGCCAAGATATCCAAGAGTTTCACTTCAACTGACTCTTAGCCACGGGGGCAACATACGCCCCAAAATTCGAATTTTATGACTCGTTTCCTGGATTGCAGCAAATGCTCGTCTATGTTGTACAGTGCGCATTGTCCGGCATCATTTAACGGGAAAGAGTCGGTCTTAATCAATACCCTTTTTTCAGTTATTGAGCAGACAATCTGGTCTTTCATGATATTTAACAGTTTTTAACCTAATATGCTCAAGCTCTACAGATAAGTTTTCGCAATCAGTTATTTATTTATATCAAATGGCAGGCTTTATGATAGTTATCATCAGCCCTTTAGTTGACTTCAGGCTTCACAGAGGGAGAGGAACATCAAATCGAAAAAAGTCGAGAGGGGGGGGGGGGGGGGCCCNGGGGGGGGGCGACCAGAAGAGTGTTTTAAAGATGTAACAGAGACAGACACAAAGGTAGATGAAAGGTGAGATGAGTACTATGGAAGTGGTCGAATATGACATACAGTGGGATCATGATAGATTGAATTCAGAAGTCAACTGCCGGTTTATAGACTTTTTTTGTCGCATGAGTATACGTTGCCCAGTGTGCACTACGTGGAGGTAAGTCTTCGCACACCCCAGTTTTCGAAATCATAGAATCTTTATGTGCATCCTTCAAATTTTCTTCAATCCGTATTATTTAAGATCATTCCAAATAATTCTTAGCCAAAACTAGCGCCCGCATTAGTACAGACTTTAAAGGAGGGGGGGGGGAGGGAAGAATTAGACGGAAGTGGGTGAAAATACATCTCTGTGCCGTTCTTCCTGTCATCCTCTAAATGGCGAGCAAAACAAATATCCTCAAGGTCGAATTCACTGCGTGAGCTTGTGGATGTGCTTTGACACGGTTGATTGCTCGAGGTTGTGCGCGCTACACCATTTGGTACGGAGTTTGTCGGAAAGCTAGGTCAAAATATTGCGGGGGGGGGGGTTGGGGTGGGGTGGAAAAAGTACAGAAGGAACAAATTCTAGTGCAGCTGCTGCAGCCCTAGTTTATGGCACGCGTAAACACGTGTGCTGTGAGGACGAGAGGGAGAAAAAGTGTACTTTGGCCTAGAATAGGGTCAAGTTAGGAGAAAGTAATGTCCAAGCGAGGAAGGCAGAAATATAAAATGAATACATATTGGCCTGCTGATGCGAGGTTACAGCTGTCTTTACCTAGACAGAAGAGTCAACAAGGTGAAAGAAGAAGGGAGGACAAATCGGACTTCCTTGTCTGCATACCTTTGGGGGGTGTGTGGGGGGGGGTTAATTCACCCGATTTACGCTTGTTAACTTCCTTGTCCGAAATTGGTTCAGATTTTTCGTAGCTTAAATGGAATTCACCTGTATGCTCTCTTTTTTTGTTTGATGGTCAAATTAAGTTAATGACTACTTATTCCGATATTTCGTGTCTCCATTATGCGACTGGAAAGTTTAAAACAATTTCACATTTAAGGGTTCTCTAATCTTATAGACGAAGCCAAGTTGTCACCACCAATTACATTTGCTTTCTTTTGAGAACAGCCTTTAGTTACTAGCTGAACTGCTCTTCTCTTCTCATGGAGTCTCAAATAAACGGATTACAGGAGAGAGTTGCTGAATACGAGTTTTCTATTGACGTAAATATTTATCAGTCAAAAAGTGTCAGACCACAAACATCGAATAGTTGCAAAGGGGAGGTCGAGTAAAGTATCCAACCAGCGTCATAGCAAATGCCACAGAGTTACTCAAAGCTGAGATTCAACAGAACGCAAGGTTTACAGTTGCCTCACTTTGAGACCACCTTAGGTAAACTGCAGTATGCTTGGTATCGACAGAGTTCTTAAATTTTCATGATCAAAGTTTTCGAATTGCGCTCTTTTAAATAATAGTTATTGTCATCGAGGTCGTGGAATCAATGCTTATCCATACACACTCGGTGAGCCGATTGGTCAACCGCATTCTCCCCTAATTCATTTCCTACCTCCCAATGATGGAAATATAGCTAATTCGCGTTATAAGCACTTATTGAAACCACCAATGATGTTTCACATTGGGCAGTTTTTAAATCTTAAAATCCACGTACAACTCGAGAACTTGTATACGTGGCTTCTGTTATATAGACGCACTGCACTAGGTCTTGAACGACTTGAATTTTCCTTTTGCGCCAAATCAAAGATGGAAGCGCAATTTTCCTTTTTTCACTTTACTTAGATTTCTGTCTAATGACAGATTGTACACGCCAGTCATGAAAAGGAGGTTGGTGTGAAACTCGGTTTGTTATTATTGCCTCTTCAACACGTTGTCTTTAAATATTTGAGGGGTGGAGTTTGGAGGTCTGTTAGGCAAAAATTATACGAATTTCAGTTTTCAAGAACGAAGACTTAATTTCATACGCAATTTTGTAATCAGGTACTTCAAAAGTTCCAATTCCTTTGATGGGAGAAGAGGTACGTCTTTAAAGTTTGAGCAATGGCCCACCCATAGTTACTTCGTTTACGTGAGCCAAGATCTGCACCACTTTCTTCTTTTCCTCTGTAAATAGAGCTTTAAATCAACAATTTCTTTCGACTTATCAGCTTCCAATTCTGAGTTCTTATCCAATGATATCTACATGTTCCAATAGCCACCTTTTACTGAAGGTTTTGCTCACCTACACTACTGAAAACAGATTTGATTAAGGAATAAAAGACGAGCATTTGTACCTTATATTCAATTTAAATCTCGTTGACCTGCGTGTACATGTTGCGATCAGAGGATACTCAACCACCCTACTAAGATGTTGATTTAGTACTTACAGATGCTCATTTCATACTAAATAATAAAATAACGCGTTCTTGGTAATGTGTCATATTTTGTAGGTTCTAATTCACTAAAAGTGGCACAGCAATCTTAGTTGCTTTACGATTTGTTTTGCATAGGGCAGTGGAAAAACAACTGTGGTACGAAGAGTGCGAGAGGGGGTGTTGGTGGAGGGGGTGGGGGTCTGAGTAGGCCTAGGATGGTTTTACGAAAAAAGAAAGAATGGAGGGAGAAGGAGACTAGCCAATTGTAATAGCGCGCGATGTCTTGCCTCGTTTAGTTTGCATTTTATCCCTCTCCTCTATCTTTTTGCGCAACTGCACACACTCTGACCATGACCCACCTATTGGACATTCGTATTTTTGGTTAGTGCACTCAGACCTTATGTGACCTTGGGGGGAAATTTGTTTTCATTCGTTTGAACGTGCTTGCCTAGATGTCGTTTTTTACCTCCAACGGCTGGTTTACACCATCTCTAACATTTCCCTTAAATGTTGCTCTCATCTTGATGTATTCACTTTGGGCTTAATTGGATCGAAAAAAGATTTAAAGTACAGAACATTTATTTTTTTATAAATCGAAAATTGGCTCACGTAAAACACTTGCATTTTCTGCTATATTTCGACGCAAAAATCAATTAAAATTTTCAATAAAAGATGAGAAAAGGCCTAAAAGTATAATGATTTGGGTAGTTCGTCATCCAGAGCTATATTTCTGAGATAGCAAGCGTTTAAAAAATGGAAGATGATCGAAATATCTAACTTTGAACCCACTAGCAGGAACAGACGGAATCGTAGACACCAGTATTTAAATTAAGAGTTCTATACTTTAAATTTACACCCTGTTTTCTGTTTTCGAACTCAGAGACTGTAACTAAACAACAGTTTGACTGAAAAATTCTGACTTTGAAGAAGAGACTGTATCTGATCACATGGCTGCAAAGATAATAAACAATAGATGTTGAAATCAATTCACTTTAAGAAGGTATCATTTTGAAATCATCAGATGAGCTATTGATCCAAATATTTTCATCTTCAATTTTAAGAGAAATATTTTTGTTTGAGAACATTTGTAAGGAGCTCAATATGCCGGAATTTCATTAATTAGAAAAAATTCTTGCTTCTCCAACAGGTCCCTCCACGTTGCACCCCATGGCAAATCTCCGGAACTGCGTGATTACATCTCCGTGTGTCTTGTGATGGAATCCAAAAAGCAACTAGACGTCTGCTCCTCTTCTTTAAGTGCAACTCAACCACCAGCCTCTCTCATTCCAGCGCGTTTTAGATGCAGTCTTCTGGATCGGAATGGTAGGATAGCCTACACGAACGGTGAGTTTTGGATTAAAGCTGTCTGGGACTGAGTGAATCATTCGTGCTTTGATCTTCATCCAACATGGCCTCTTCTTTATACACCAGACACTGCATTTTATGAGGAAGAAGTCTACTTTGCGCTTATTTTACATAGCTAGACCACCATTAACTCCGTTCTATGTATGTGATAATTAATCTACTGAAATGTATGAACGCAGCAGAGACCATATATGAATACAATTCACGTGCATATTATCAATATGGTTGGATTGATAGCAATTTTGTCTCGATTAGTGACAAGGGTTATAGGCGGTTTTGAGTTTTGTTTGTAGACTTCCTATCCTCCATTTACCAAGAGATTGGTTGTTATTTATTTTAGAAGGTGGGACTTAGTACCTATCTTTCTCTCTCTCTCTCTCTCGGCTTCAGCTTTCAATATTCACTTGTGAGCGTGTCCTAAGAAAACCAACTTTGAGGTTACCACCACATACAGTACTACCAAGGTCATTTAAAGTACTAATGCACAAACTTAGTGAACTAAAGTAAAAAGGACTCCCTCATATTATGTCAAATCCGGATCTAATTAGCGTTTTAATAAATATCAAGCATAGCCAGTTAAACTTTATCACCCTTAAATGTCAAAATATCACCTATTATTGAGAAGGTTTAGAGGATCTTATCGAAATAGGTAGTTGATAGCGTTTTTTAACAAGATATTTGCCAAGATTTATAAGTAGTGTTTGGGGGTGTACGATAGACTTACCTCCACGTGGTGCACCCTGGGCAACGTATACTCATACACCAATAAAGTCTATTGACTGGCAGTTGACTTCTCACTTCAAACTACCAACACCTCACTCTATGCCATATTCGAATATTTTCACAGTACTCACCTCACCTTTGTTCTACCTTTGTGCTTGTCTCTTACATATTTGAATTTCTCTTCTGTTCCCCCCTCTCGACTTTTTTCTATTTGATGTTCCTTCCCCTCTGTGCGTACTATTGAGTATAGAAGACACACATGAAGTGCTGCCATCGAACCGGATAAGATTTTGGATTTATGAAATCAAATGTTTGAAGCGCGAATAAATCTATAATTTAATTTCCGTTTGTTTTGCAAACCTTAGTTATTTTACACCAAAGAACAACTGCTTAAGCAACTTCTAGATTTTGCAAAGAGAAGAAGTAGATACGGATATCTTAATGCTTAATCATCAAAGTACTATGGGTTCGAATGGTGAAAACTCCGAATTAAAATAAGTGATACGGAAGTTCATCACCTAAACTTCAAGGCAGAACAAGCACTCACGGACGAATAAGAAATTTTTGGAAATATTCTAAAACTCAGGAACACAAGTTTGAAACTTATCTTGAAATGAAGGGTAAGTACGTTAAATGAAGTGATCAGCATTCAAGAAAAAAACTTTAGTCGAATAGTTTGAGAAGGGAATGGAAAAATTGACCATCCATGTGGACTCAATACTGGCAACATGATCCACATTTCAAAGGGAACTCAACCAGTTCCTTTTAGAACTACTTAGCATTAACTAAACCAGTAATAATTTGTATTTGTGAAATCTTTGCAGCTCTATTATTTTAGAAATGTTAGTTGAGTGTGTTTATGCTTTTTTGGTACTTGAATTAACAAAAAACGGATTAAAGCGGTAGGACGGTCTGATTTATTCAAGTAAACGATCAATACGTACTGTAATTTTTCCTTTAATTCAGGTCATAAATCAGTAATCATGATCCAAGAGACGATATATGCCCAAGTATAATTAGTAAGTGAACAAATGAATCAGATGAAACTCTTCATACTGTGAAGAGATTGCAGAAGGAGCTCTGCGATGCCTTGAAATGCCTACTTCCATTGGGATATTCTTCCCAAGCGTTTGTAGTGTCTAATTCTAAGATTCATATTCAGGAAAATCCCTTTCCCATCGTTTTGTTGAAGTGCAGAGGAGTGGCTGTATGGTTAGCTTCTTCCTCACACTCTCGACACTCCCACAAGAAAATTGTAAGCCAAGCGTGTTCCAGTAGTAGTCAGGAGTACTTTCAATCTCCTCTCACTCGGATGCTCGCTGCTTTCTTACCGTGAAAGATTATTTATTTATTGATCTACCGTAGTTTATAATGATTAGAATGAAATCCTGAGGAAGGAAGTTTCGAAGTTATTATTATTATTAGTATATCAAATTTCAGGCGTTTTGATTGTTATCATTAGTCCCTTAGCTGACTTCAGGCTTCACAGAGGGGAAGGAACATCAAAGCGTAAAAAATTCAAGAGGGGGAAGAGAGGAGTGTTTCAAAGCGTAAAAAATTCAAGAGGGGTGGGGGAACAGAAGAGTGTTTTAAAGACGAAGGTAGATAAGGTGGAAAGAATGTGGGATGAGTACTGTGAAAGTAGTCGAATAGGACATACAGTGGGGTGATGGTAGCTAGAAGTCAGAAGTCAACTGCCAGGTAATAGACTTTTTTGCCGTATGAGTATACGTTGCCCAGGGTTCACCACGTGGAGGTGAGTCTATCACACACCCCTTGGAAGTTTCGAAGTAGAATGTAGGGTGTGGTAATGATTAGTCGGCCCACCTAAATGCGGTCCAGATAAGAGGTGTAATTAAGGTGTGTTTTTTTAGTATGCAATATGGCGACGTAGCTACATGTCAAAATAGTAACCAATTAACTTTGTCTCAACTGTTGGAGGTTTATTCAATAAGAAATTTCTTATACAGATCCACACTCATTAGCAGTATTCTTCAGAGAAAGAATTGCAGTATTATTAATGAAGCCACCCAAATTTTAGACACTGGTTGTCCCGTGCCAATTTTCATGACACTCTGACCCTGACTTCAAACTGTCGGGCCACAATCAATTTCCCCATCTCTTTCCTGAATTTGGTTCATTTAGTAGTCGTTGCCAAGGGCGCATTGTTCAGCAAATTTGTATTTCGAATTCAAGTTGTTCTGGCACGATTACTTGAAGTAGGATTGGTAGAAAGGAGAAGTGAAAATACGGTTGAGTGCCAGCATTCGCTCTTGAAAACCGACATTCATTACTATCTTTACCAAGCGTTCTCAAGTATCTCCAAAAATTGGCACTTATTCATCTTTAATAAAGAAGTTATTTGTATCATTTTCGCTCAAATAAACTTTTTTTTAATATAATGAAATAGAGTTCACGAGACGTGCGCCTCTGACTCAAACTCAACTTTAATTTCTCTTGAGAAGGCGGAAATTTGTTGGCGGGGTGTTGGGGGGGGTGTCATTTTTAAATAAATTATTGTTTCCCATTAACAATCCACATGGGTGGCATTCGAATTAATTACCTCCTCATTTCTAAAAATAAATTCAGTCAAAGAGCTCAACTTCAACATTCTCTAAATGGCTTTGTGAAATACTCCTAATAGCAGTAGGGACTTCACTTGCGAAGTGTGATGGAAGTAAGTGAACGTGGAACACTTAAAATTAGTTAAGATATGATCGAATACCCAAATAAAGCCAATTTTTTATTGGAATTGATTTGTTTTTAATTTCTGATATTATTTTTTTCATCACATGCGTCCGTAATGACCCTTCATCATCTTTATTCTCAAACAACCAGTTTCAGAACTTTGTGGTGTGCCGATAGTATGGAATACTCTTGAGCATTCAAACGTCTAGGGAATGTTATCGGAGATTCCTTTAGACGATTTTGCTCACTCAAACTCTCTTTGAAAGACGGGTATTTTTATTGAATTTACGAACGACCCGTTGATATTTTAATTAGTCAACTAAATGCCTTTCTACCCTATAATTTGTCGAAATTATAAAATAAGCAGATTACGTACCACTTGAATCTGTCTGAATTCGTCATATTTAGTCAGTTTTACATCTATTAACATTTATTTCCAGCAAACACTGGCATGATCTTTGGAAAGTTATAAGATCATGACCGCTTAAAATGAGATCACACTCATATTTTAGAAATTGATTAAAATAAAAATGTGGGTTTCAAATAACTGACATTAACTTAAATTCGATTGAATATAAAATGAGTTCAAACTACTCCTAACATTCAACGTGTTAAAGAATACTTTAATAATGAGTTGTAAATAAATGAATATTAAATTCATGGCTGATTTATTTCGGCCCATTATCTCTAATAAAAAATAATAATAATAATTATTATCATTATCTCAAATTACAAATTTGAAATGTTTCGGTTAAAAGGTCCTCGCAAAGGTGTAAATTACTGACAACTTCCGTTCATGCGAAACGATACTACTTGCAGTTTTCTATTTAATAAACTTTCAAATTTTTATCCAGAATTAGTTTAAAAACTTCCGAATTTCAGAGCTTGAAGTCCAGTGGAAGGCCAACTAACATATCCAAGACGTCAATAAATTTCAAAACAGAAATAAATAATTTAAATATCTCTAAGCAAAGCAATTATACTTTAAGAGAAGTGGATTTCATTACATGTTTATGATAAAAAAAACGAACAGGCTTTATTTTTCGACATTTAAGAAACCGAACGATATCATCTAGTGGGTCCAAAAATGGGTCTCGGATTCTGTCGATTTGTCGAACGATCTCGACTCTATCCTCATCCAACAGCCGCTTCAAAATCTTCACCAGCAAACCAAAAAGGGAATCCTTCCATGGATTCCTCACCCATTTCTTCCGACAATTTTCTCGTTGGACCAGAAGATAGAGTCCAATTCTTGGCCGAGGTGAGTTCAAAGAGCCGTTGCATTAACCATTGCTCACTTTTCTCTTATATCAACCATTGTTTGCGGAAATTATTAATAAGATAATTGAGAGTAAAATATGCTTTTGGTTTTTCTTTTAAAGTCCTGGCTTTTTTTCTATTTCTATTTTTGCCTTATTTAAACAAAATCATTCATTAGATTCTACTTTATTGTGGTTTTCCTAAGCAGAGCGCTAATTTACTAGACAGTTTTAACTGACATTTTCTCGTCCAAAATAAAATTTATTTTGACGACTTGATTACAGCAACTGAGTGCCGCTTTTGACACAGCTCTCAATGGCAGGATAAATTATGAATTCTGTCATCAACAAGTTTAACTTGAGGTGATTATTTACCAACAATAGAGCAGGTGTTTAACTGGAAAGAAGGCATATGCATAACCAGTAATGACATGCTTTGCCGTACGGCTAGATATGCGTCGTCAAAATTTTATTCACAACCCAGATAAAGGACAATAACATTACCATCACCTGTTATATAAATGGATGAGCATATGTAATTGATTGACCTTAATGACAGTTATCTACTTTCTACTATTGCCTTTTTCTTCCAGTGACGCGGCCATAATATGCATACTTTCGAGCTAGAGTTCCACTAGTTTGACCGGTGAAGCAGGAGAAGAGAAGGCGCGGAGAGTCTCTACGACGCTCTTCTTTACTTTACGCCATTAGCCTAGTGATCGGAAAACGCGTCCTCTCAGACAGGGTTCATGAGATTTTCTGCTCATTGATGAGTGTAACACGTGATGTGGATGGTTAATTATGGTCAGCAAATGGAGAGGTGGAATGTATGTTCCTCAGTGTAACGATTTCAGAATGCCTTCATAATTTGATCCACTACTTTTGAAATTTCATCCTTTGAGGATTGAATTGGCCTTGAGATGTTAGCGTTACACTAAATTTCATCTTTAGACAACACGAATTTCGTCCCTTACTAAATTCATCGGTCATTTCACAGTTTCAAGTCGTCTAGGGTGTGACTACTACTTACTATGAAGTTGTAATTAGCGTTATTAATAGAATGTCAATTAATTTAGAAAACGCATCGAATGCACGGTTTGGTCAAAGGAATGCGCAGTTTAAAATTCTTGGAGATTGAAGGAATAGCTCTACGCAACCTTTTAGTGCCTTTTCATTCCAATGTTCCTCTCAAGCTTCGATTGATAGCATCTACTTCTGAAATAGTTTCTCGTCATTTAGTGGAACCACCTTGCATGATCAATAGGTTTTGGATCTGTCTGGAAATCAGTAATAGACGATCGATGACACTTTGATAATACTTAATGGTCTTTCCGATTGGAATTATTAGAGACAGAGTTATTTATTTAAGGCTTACTTGATGCACTGGATTTTGAATATCTCAACAATGAGAACCTCCTTTTAATGCGCCCCGTACAATTTATCGCTGTTATTGTTACCTGATTGTCACTGATTGATTTGATTGAAAATTTGAAAATCTATAGACATGGAGTTCAAAACTATTCCGAATCAACACGCTGTTAGATGTATTCGCTAGTCATTTGTAAGATGTACAACTGACATTTACCAAACTTTCTATATCTTAGTAAATACAAATAGAACTAACTGACAAAAAAACAGCTAAAGTAAGAGGAACACCAGTATGGTTCAAATGGGGGGTTGGAATGAGTGAGATCCTCTAGGATTATATCCGAAATAAGACAATTTTGACTTATTTTCATTTGGCTCATGTAAAATGACCTATTAGTGAGATTCGTTCAAGAATCAACTTCCATTGTCTATTTGGTAAAACAGTGAATGAAATTAGTCTATTGCTTTATCTGAGTAGATTATTCATTCATTCTGGTATTATTCCTAACTATATAAACAACTTCTAAGAGGTGATTATCTAGTCTCACAAGTCCAAAATTCGGAATTCCATAAAGAAGAAGAAGAAATGCAGGAAGAGTTTCATCATGGGAACTACTTTTCCTTGAACGAGGTCAAATGGGTATGCATGTTTGTATGTGTATGTATCGGTGACACAGAGCCTGTCCCATATTAGGGCCAGGTCGATTCTGATGGCCGATGTTGGATACAAATAAAAAAAACAAGAAATTCCCGAACAACACTTACTCATGTGTTTTGAGAATGTTCTTCTATTGGTTTATTAGCATGTGAGAATGGGGGGGGGGGCGAACGTATCACGAAACGATGTCATCTAGGAAAGTAGCGAATTAGACTTACGTTGAAATCAGATTGATTTAATTAGAACAAATTCGATTTTCCCGGAATTTATTATGCAAAATTGGGCTGTCGTAAAGTGCTTCCACATGAAGTGAATCTACATTTTCTTTCTTGGACTGTCAGCTATCGATATATTGGCGAAATGAATTAAAAGAAGCTTATTGGACTCACTCTTGGTCTTCTTAGCATATCCAGTGCAAGAATCGAGGGATACGTTCCTGACATCTTGTTTAACTGAGTAAAAGTGACAAATTCGAATGTCAGAAATTTAGAACACCGTCAAAAGTTTGTCCAATTTGGGGGGTAAGTAATTTTTTCACCGCGTTCTGCAGGTGCCGTCAACAAACTCCTCAAATTCTCGGGACTTCTTTGGACTCTGCTTGATCTTACTTTTAAAAAGGACATGTTTATGTCCAGAAACGGGGATAGACTCGTTTATTTTGTCAAAAGTGCTAGAGTTCTATTTTGGCTAATTCGAAAATCCAAACGTCCAATCACTGCAGGACATCGCCTAGGTCACCCACGATGGCTCAAATAATAATGGAAACAAGCTCGGTGTGATCTATTTATCCGACATGGTCGATATTAAGGTCGTTTCGAGAGAGAGAAGTAAGTGGGGGGGGGGGGGGGGGGGGGGGGGGGAGGGAGAGGTTATTGTTTTTGTTGTTGCTTTTGTTTTCGAGAAGACCGCGATGGTTTCTTGTTCCCTTTTTCTCCTTGCCTTTTCTCGCATTCTTTTCACCCCCCATCTCTCCAAGGTTTTGTATACGATCACTGCCGACAAAATAGAACGCTCCCTGGTCGGTTGTTGTTTATGTCCAAATGTGTCAGATGTTTTTGAAAGCATCACTCTTCTCTTCTAGTCTTCTTATATGCTGTGGCTCATCCCGAGGTAAAAATAGGCCTGTGATTCACTGTATATCCATGCCTCTACGCACAAATAATGGACTCTAGTAACTGGACTTGCTTATCCTGAGATTAGGCCAAACTCGATTCCGTCTGAGATTCCAGAGAAAATACCAATTATTTTGTTTCATCTCCTTCTCTAAAACTAGTGATCAACATTTACGCAATTTTCTTTACCAACGCCCCAATTTTAGTGTTTTTAAAAGGCTGCTTTCTATATGATAAAATAGATATTTTGGGTGGAAGAAGAAATTTACACATCATCCTCATTATCTGATAATGGAAGCACGAGCGACAGCTCTGAACAATCTTCAAGATCTCCGGCAATTATAGACTTGCGCAATGACCTTGAGGACCTTCTCATTTCTCAACGATTGGCTGATATCAAGGTCGCGATCGATACTCCTGGGTCAATAGGTCAGAACTACGATAAGACCTCTCGATTTGTGGATATCAAAGATCATCTACGTACGGTGGAATGTGACTGCAGTAACTGCTCCGAAGCCCAAATTCAAACATCTCAGGAATGCTTAGCCCATAAAGCTATTTTAGCTGGTGAGTTTATAAGGATATATAATGTGATTAGGAAGTAATTCTCCGTTTAACAAGCAAATAATTTAAGTAGTCACCAGCTTTGTATGAAATGACATTCAAAGAACACCCAAACACGAATTTTACTTTTAAAATTGAGTTTCCTCTTGATCATTTGCTTACAGTTTCGTAAATAGGGGCTCCGCTAATGAGTCTGTGGTATTGAGCTTTAGATAATCATTTTCTTGGCACTCTGCATTGATTAGAGCACAATTTTTCAATAATTCGCCACAATATATACAATTAAAAAATTAGTTGCCATTATCATATAATGCGGCAGCTAATTTAAGTGTTCTTCGTAACTCTAAACATTTGGAAATCTTCATAAGAAGTTAATTTTAAAATCCCTCCCCCCGATAAATCAGTTTTAATCTCTATGCGAACCCAGTTAGCAATTTTTTAAATAAATGTTTATCTACGAAATAGTTGGTAATTTAGTAGCACACCTAACTAATTGTGTGAATAACTGAACTTCATCCTTAAATGGAAAATTGAATCAAGAGAGAAGAGCTACGATAAATCTTGCTAATTAGATTGAGCATTACTTTTTTGCAAAGCACTAGATGAATTTAATAGACTTCTTGAAGGCAAGTTTCGATATTACTCTTCTTGTATCTGCAGCCTCAACACCAAAGTTGATGGAGATTCTTTCTTCATCAGAGAGAGATGGTCGACTCCAGGATGAGTTTACCAGACTTGTGTTTCGGGGGTCTGGACTCAGTCCTGACGTTGTTCCAAGCTTCCTGCAATACGTTTACTCAAGAAAAATGGACCGGAATTCTGGCCATGCTCAGCTTGTCACACTGCTTCAATTATCTCTACGGGTATGAATGAAGTATAATTACCAGTTTGTATTCACAGCAATAAACGATTTCAACGATAACCTGACATTAATCTCATCCCCACTTGACACCAATGAACACATAATGTGTTCCTTTCTAAAGTTTTGTTGAAGTTAAACTTTATCTTTAGAAAACGACTATTTTAAGAATCCTTGTTAGCAGCTTCTCAGATTAGGAAGTCTTCGCTTTCGTTTAAGCTAAGTTCATGTCACTTTGATTAGACAAAAAAAGTAGTTTTGTAGTTTATTTCTCAGTAGTTCGTACGTCTATTGGATTGTTTGAAAATTAAGATGTAACAATTTGATGAAATCTATAGGTATAGTCAAGTTATTGTTCATTAATTATTTGAATTCGACTGTACAATCAGGTCTTTGAAAATTGAATTTTTACCCATTTTTAGCTTGAAATGCGAGAATTCGCCAAACTAATCGAAGCCCGATTAAGGGACATCATTTCTACGAAAAACGTCTGCTCTATTCTCTCCACAGCCATTGATCTTAAAACTCCATCTCTGGTTGAGTCTTGTCTCTCCTTTGTTTTCCGGTGAGTTGCATAATCTTTTACCGCTTCTAGCATTCCACAAGCTTATTTCGTAAATTCAATAATCCGGAATGGTTATTGAACAACTTCTAGGGCCCTGACCACCAACCTTTATGGACACGGAAAGTTTTTTTTGAGTTGCTAACTCGTAGCACATAATGAGATTTTACAAACAAAATCGAATCCCATTTTTAAACGATCTAATTGAATATCTACGAATCATGAAGAAAGTGGAATTTGAAGGAAAAACTGAATAGCTTATTTTTCTTATAAAACAAACAAAATCTGATGTTGTTTATTTGTCAATTAGATTGGAAATATTTTTTGTGTGTCATACAAATAGAGGCAAATTAATAAATACTGCCACGTCAAATTATCAAAATTGTGTAATGGAAGTATTGCTTCGACCTTGCAGGTGTTGTAATGGCAAATAATATATGCTTGCATTTATGGACAATTATCTGTTGAAAATAGAAAGAGGAAACTTTTCATGAACCTGTCTTTTTACTTTTGTCTTATAAAGAGTGTGAAATCATTCACATTAAAATGGGAAGATTAGATTTTGGCAACTCTTTATTTCGAAATAATATTTAATTTACCTTTAATTCAATCTTCCATTCGATTTCTTCATCATTTCACAACCATATTTTGATTTTAGAATTTTAATAAGACTCCTTACTTAAAAATATATTGCAATCCTTGCTCAAGGGTATTTTGCAAAGTTTACGAGGTACCATCAGATTTCGTGTGTAACTTGTAGGATATTGGTAGGATGATATTGAGGGTGTCAGAGAGTATTTGTGAACATAGCTGGCTCAATTTGGCAGAACTCAATTAGAAGTTGGTAGATGGGGAAAGAAAGCTTAAGTTTATTTATTTATATCAAATGGCAGGCATTTTGATAGCTTCATTGGCCCTTTAGGTGACTTCAGGCCTCACAAAGGAGAAGAAATATCAAAGAGAAAAAAATTCGAGAGGGGGGGGGGGAACAGAGTAGTGTTTCAAAGATGTAAAAGAGACAGACACAAAGGTAGAAAAAGGTGAGGTGAGTACTGAGGAAGTGGTGGAATATGACATACAGTGGGGTGATGGTAGTTTGAAGTGAGAAATCAACTGCCAGTCAATAGACTTTATTGGTGTATGAGTATACGTTGCCCAGGGTGCACCACGTGGAGGTAAGTCTATCGCACACCCCAGAAAACTTAGGTAACAGGTTAAAGACTGGAGGGAAAGTCATTGGTAGAAATGAGCGGGATTAAATAACCGAGACTTCCGATACCCACATGTGAACCACGGGGTCATTTGCAAGCTCATCCGCCATGTTTTTTGAGTAAAGGAAGGTGTTCATTTACATTTATTGTGATCAGATCCTTATGGAATATTTGAATTCCATTCAGGATTTGTTCCAGATTTAGGGAGATTGTTGCATTTTTGCCTAGAGGGCAATTGTTTATCCTACTGACCTGATTTTCGTTCAAAAATACTAAATTATTAGTTTACTTTGTATTGCTGGTGGTACAAAAAAAGCCAGAATTTGGACAGAGAAAAGATGTTTAAAAATACGAAGTACGAGGTCTGGAAAAAATTCAACTCAAGGAAGAATTGAATACCTCAATATTAGTAGCAAATAACAAAGGGAACTGTAGAATGCAGCTATTATCGATGGTGAAGAGCAAAAATACTACTTTTGTAACGCGGAGAGACATTTTAAGTGAGAGGATAAATGAATTTATCCTATGAAGGATTGGGGATTGTCTGATTTGAAAATATCACCCACTATGACTTGTTTAGCTCTTTATCACCCTTTGGCCCACACGGTTCCCTTTCAAAATAAGCTCCATTAGTATTAGACTCTTAACAGAAGGCGCTATTGCCGTTTGAAACATCTTCTATATATATCTATAGCCTTCTCCTGATGCACCACCAAATCTCCCTCACATCGGCGGCATCAACCGGCTGTAAGACACGCGTTAGTGCGGCATTTTCCAAAAAAAATAATTCGGGCGTTACAGGGTTACATGTTCAAGATTTGCAATGTTCACAATTTGATCTCAGCATTCATATCCGCTATGAATAGATCTTGCTGACTATAGTTGGGTAAATTGAGACATACGTCAATTCTAAAACAAATTTTCAAAAAAACCAATTTACTGGTAGCTAGTGCATCGTCTACCATCAATAACTCTGTACTGAAATTTCAAAAATTTAATTGGATTTACAGTGGATGGTCTCCATAACCACTTGCCCACCTCGATTAATTAATAAAGAAACCACACCTACCAGGGAAATATTTTTGTTATTTTAGATGCTGGTGTGAACTAAAAATTGGAATGTTTTCAATTCATCAAATTTGGACATTGGCATTATATTTTCGAGGTGAAGGGCTTCTGGAGATCATGATAATTTAACAATTAAAGGTAGTAAAATCGAAGGTGCCAAAAAATTTGCGTTCATTATGAGTGTTAAGATGGATTTTCACTCATTGATTTTGAAACAATTCTGGTTTGACGTGATAGGCAGTCAGCTTTACGCTTAATTGTTCAAAGTGTTTTTGGTGTGAAATACAAGACCTGAAATCTCATTCTACGCTTTTTAGTCTGACCAAGTACCTTCCAAAGGGTATTCTGTAAAATATTTGAAATTTTTATTTCTCCTTTAAAATCGAGCTAAATTCCCATGGAAGTGTAGCGCAGTCTTTGCTGGAAATGGCCTTGTAAAGAGAATGACCTTGGAATTGACGGAGGTAGATGGTATGCCCTGTTTGTTAGGGCAAGGGCTTAGAAGCGAGGATACGATCAATAGGAAAGCAGGGATGAACCGTTTTTGAAAAATTTGTCAACTTCCCGGCTTGGTTGTGAATTGAATTGGATTTGTTGAGTCATTGCTTAGGTTTTTCATTCAACTTCACATCAAAATAATAAATATTTTTCATGCGGATTTGAGGGGTCTGGAAAATTCTATCTTTTACAAGGATGTTCATATAATTTAGACACTAAATGTGTTAGCGTTTATTCAGTCTTGATAAGAGATTGTAATAATAATTACGTGGGGTGTGTGATAGACTTACCTCCACGTGGTGCACCCTGGGCAACGTATACTCATGCGGCAAAAAAGTCTATCAACTGGCAGTTGACTTCTGACTTCAAACTACCATCACCTCACTTTATGTCATATTCGACTACTACCACAGTACCCAAATCATCTTTTTCTACCTTTGTGTCTGTCTCTTTTACATCACTGAAACACTGTTCTGTTCCCCCCAACCAACTCGACTTTT